GAAGGAAGGAGGGAAGTGGGCGAAGGGAGGAGGGAAGGGGGAGAAGGGAGGAGGGAAGGAGGGAAGTGGGCGAAGGGAGGAGGGAGGAGGGGAAAAAAAACCTTGTGCTGCAGCAGTTATTTACCGAGACATGCTGGGTCATCACATATGTCATTTAAAAGTCCGCGCGCGCCTAAATTGCCGGCTAATTGTTTGTGACTCCGGGATCGCGGCTTACGGAGGTTGAATTCCCGGCGGGACCAGCGGCACGTGAAATTGAAATGACAAAATATTCTATGCGTATTACGAGTTACAAATTAGTGCATAATGACGCGAAATTGCAAATGAGGCCGTAATTGTTCAAGCTTGTAATTCTGGTCCCTCGCTGCCGCCGCGGTGCTTGGCGGGCGGTACGCGGCGCGACCGGACGAGGGGGGGGTGCTCTGGGGTCAGGGGTCAGAGGTTAGAGGGGGGAAGGGGGGTTGGAGATACACACAAGAACACTCATAATTACGGTGGACATACGCAGAAACGCAAATTTAACCAAGCAAACAGAGGCAAATATACACAAGGACGCATTTTGACACGCAAACGCAAATGCAGAGAAAACACACACACGCACACACACACACACACACACACACACACACACACACACACACACACACACACACACACACACACACACACACACACACCAAGTAAACACGCATTTCCACATACACGTGTACACACCTGCATGCACATACCCACATACATAAACAGAGGGAGAGCCGATAATTAAAATATTGACGGCGTAGAAGTAATGATTTCCGTATTGATATCAGCTCAAGCTCTTCATGGATTTTTCCCCTCTTTTTCTTTTTCTAACGTTGATTTTTTTATCGATATTTTCATGTTTTTGGTTAATTACATGTCCTGTGCTTTCGAGTATCTCATCTATCTTGCGTTGTTGACTGGGTCGATGGGGGTTTGCTTGTGACCGAGTGTGAGGCTAGGGTTGTGTGTGTGTGTGTGTGTGTGTGTGTGTGTGTGTGTGTGTGTGAGTGACAGAAAGAGAGAGAGAGGAAGAGAGAGAGAGGGAGGGAGGGAGGGAGAGAGAGAGAGAGAGAGAGAGAGAGAGAGAGGGAGGGAGGGAGGGAGGGAGGGAGGAGAGAGAGAGAGAGAGAGAGAGAGAGAGAGAGAGAGAGAGAGAGAGAGAGAGAGAGAGAGAGAGAGAGAGCGAGAGCAAGAGAAACGGGACTAGGGAGAGCGGAGAAGGGAGAAGAAGAGAAGGAAAGAAGAAATGAAAATATGAAATGTATATTTCGTCAATTTTTTTGCTTTTGTTTTTAGCTCTTTAGTTTATGGGTTTGTTTATTTGGTCGCGTTGGTGGCGGTTTTATTTCGCCTTCTGTATTTCTCCATTTATGCTTTTTGCTCTGATTTAGTGTCTCTCTCTCTCTCTCTCTCTCTCTCTCTCTCTCTCTCTCTCTCTCTCTCTCTCTCTCTCTCTCTCTCTCTCTCTCTCTCTCTCTCTCCCTCTCTCTCTCTCTCTCTCTCTCTCTCTCTCTCTCTCTCTCTCTCTCTCTCTCTCTCTCTCTCTCTCTCTCTCTCTCTCTCTCTCCCTCCCTCCTTCCTACCCCCTCACCTTCCCTCCCCCTCTCTCTCTCTTCTTCATTCCAAATACATTTTCTTCATTTTCTTTACTTATCATAAGATGCTTCTCTGAAACTCTTTTACTTCTCTTCCGCTGTCACACTTTTTTTTTTCTTTTTATTCCAAGTCCGCCTTTCGTATCGGCCTTCATTCCGTCTCCCACCTCCACGCCCACCACCCCCGCCACCCCCCACATCTGTCCAACCCCCCCTACCCCAACCCCTCTTCCTCCTCCCCAATCCACCTCCTACTCCCCAACCCCCCTCCCACCCCACCCCCCTCCCCAACCCCTTTCCACCCCATCCCCCCAATTCCTCCCCAACCCCCCTCCCTCAACCCCCTCCTCCCCCCACTTCTGGCAAGACAGATGTGTTATATTGCGCCGTAAAAGCACGACACCCCGCGCAATTTCAAATGTCCCCCCCCCCTTCCCCCCCATCTTTTTTTTTTTTTTTCCTTTTCTTTTTACCATTTGGTGGGTATATTATAGATTGGATATAGCCGCTGCTGTTGGGAGTATATAAAACTAGGCTGGGATACGACGTAAAATTTAATTGCGGTGGATATTATTCCCTCTCTTCCTCCCTCACTCTTCCCCCCCCCTCCCCCCTTCCCCCTTTCCCCCCTTTCCTCCTCTCCTCTCCTCCCCATGCGCCTGGGAATATTCTTTTTTTTTCCCCTGATTCGCGTACCTTTATGTTGCTTCCCTCTTTTCCTTCCTTTTTTCCTCTCTCTCTCTCTCTCTTTTCTTTCTCCTTCGCTGTTTCTGTCCTTCTTATTCCTCTACCTTTTCCTCCTCCTCGTCTTCCTCCTCCATCTCATCCCCCTTATTTTCTTTTCCTTCTTCACCTTGTCTTCTTCCTACTCTTTTTCCTCCACCTCC